CATTTTCACAAACTAATGAATTAACATTTTCACAATTCAAACTGATAATTTTATATTTTTATTAATCAGTCTCACATTTCACTTTGTGTATTGTATTCTATCTTTTTTTTTTTTGGATCAACTATATGGTAATCTATCTTTTTTTTTTTCTCAACAATCTTACTTCATTCATTTAACCGATCAAAGTACAAAAAAAGAGAATTAAGCATCCTCCAGAATTACTACAACATAAAGCAATAAAACATAGGATAGATAGATCATTGCAAAAGATGGATAGCGAATCCAAAACATGCCTCGAATGCGTCAAGAAGGTCTTCGCGGCTAAGCCGGAGAGTCTCAGATTGGTCACTTTCCACTGTGACTTTGTAGATCCAGGCACAGAGCTTGGGGATTCGACCAGTCTCAAAAAACCGGGAGAAGGTGGAATTGGACTCGTCCACCGGGAGTAGATTACAAGGTTTGAAAACTCATAAAACTTTTGTCTTCTTACCGTAGAAGAGATATAATCATTAAAAACTACAGGATTTGAGAATCCAGAAAACTTTGTTCTTCTCAAAGAAGAGAAGCAGAGCTCAAAAGCATATAAATTTTTTGAAAAACTGCGTTTTGAAAACACGGGTAGCGGACCCGATAATGAACCGCCCATTAAAGATCTACCCAAATTCGTATTGATAGAGATTAAATGTGAACTTGTTTGGGTTGGGCTGACTAATGGGCCAGGATAAGTTAAGTTTACAGACCCAATATGGCTTTATATATCAGTGGGCCTAATGGGCTCCATGATAACAAGCTCGAAATGGGCCAAGCCCAGCAATCATGCTTCTTGACGAGATGGAGAGGACTCGACGAGATGCGAGATCTCCAATGTTGGCCGCGACGGTGTGCAAGAGATCCGGTCGGTATTTGCGGCGGAACCTGCTCATCCAATCGTCGGAGTTTCTGTTGACGTGCTTCTCCCCCGAGAGTCGCTACCCTTGCTTCCTTTCCGTTAATATAGATTTGACAGCTCCGGACAGCCCGTGGAGAGGGCAGCGGTTCCTCAGCGACCCAATCTCTCGCCATCGACGGAGCAATAATTGAAGCCGTGGACTGTGAAGAAGTGACGGTGAGGATGAGTAGACGGTCCGGTGAGTGGACCAAGGTGGGTGGTCGGAGATGTATCAGTTTGACTACATTACTCCGAGAGGGTTGTGGTCCGAGCAAATTCGAAACCTGTATCGGATTGACCGGCAGCATAGAGTTCAACAACAGAGGGACCAACCTTAGATGAGATAAGAGGGCACGAGGATGTGAGCGAAATCTCCGACCCTTTAGAGGCGGTGAGTCCGACAGGAAGCTTAGGGATTGGTTGCTAAGGAGCAACTTATGCAGATTTGGAGTCAGAAGACACAACGTGAGGTCAGATCTCTCGAGGTTCTCATCGGAATCAAATGTCTCGCCGAAATCTATGGATGCCAACGAAGAGTGATAGAATTTGCCAAGGCATAGCTTGCCCGGAAGGTCTCGGCGGTGGTAATGGTCGACGGAAATTACAAAGAGGATAGAGCCCCTCGTCAGTGGGTGAAAGGCTCCTCGAAAACATCGCCTGGGAACGTTAGGGCGAACAGCCGCATCCATTTTTGTTAAACACACGACACTAATTCATATTATATGGTAATCTATCTTATTTCCATCTTTTCTTCTTTAAAAGTCCCTCTCCAATGACAAAATTTATTTGTCTTTTATATTTTGCTAATGAAAATGATCAAGATGATGGAATACCTTTTTTGGCATTATTTATTAACACCTTCACGGACAGGATCATGAGCGCAATAACATTTTATAGTCAACGATACAATACATAGTCAACATTTAAGCTATTTATATAGATAGTATATAGCACTTGTGTATAGCACTTAGCCCCAAAGATATTGGAACAAAAAAATGTGTTAAAAGAGGAAAGTGTTTGTGTGAAACAAGAAAGTGCTGTAAATTAAAGATACATTTATTAAATATAATTTGGATATTTGCTAATCCTTTAGGTTAAAGATATCACAAATTTAGGTGATATAAATAGAGGAGGAAAAAACCTCTGGCGAGACGAACAAAAGAGAATAAGATCAAAGATTTATTGTTTCGGTTTTTGGAATAGAATACAAATATTTTGTGTGAAGCACATAATTTGTGTGCAGGAACAAACTGGTTCCTAAGATGTGGTCTTAGATCGAGTATGAAATTAGAAGGAAAATCTTTAGTCTTTGTTTATGTATTAGAGGCGTGTGTATCTTGTTGTTAGATAGATGTTGATCAGTGTCATACTAAAGGGTGTCTTGGTGTTGCGTAATTCCATTAGGCAAATTTTTGTTGTAAGATTTTCTATATAATTTCTAATAAATGAATTGAGGACAAAGACATGCATGCTTATCAAACCTTGTTATATTTATTGTATGCTCATATTCTCGTTCTTACA